AAAGTTAGGTATAATACATCAGAGATCTTGTCCATATATACCCCATCAGAATGGAGTGGCTGAAAGAAAACACAGACATCTACTTGAAGTTACAAGAGCACTCAGATTTCAAGCAAAAATTCCTATCAAGTACTGGGGGCATTGTGTATTAGCAGCAACCTACATTATCAACAGACTCCCTAACAATGTCCTTGATTTTCAAACTCCCTATGAGAGATTATATGGTAGCAAACCATTACTGTCCCATTTTAAAACTATTTGTTGTTTATGCTTTGCCAAAAGTCTTACTGAACATGATAAACTAATGCCTAGAGCCAGGTCAACTATTCATATGGGGTATTCAGCAACACAAAAAGGGTACATTTTTTTGGATCTTACCACCAAAGTATTTTTTCTAAGCAGAGATGTTATATTTAGGGAGGAGATGTTTCTTTTTGCACATGACAAACAATCTGGAAGACATCAATTATTCATAGATATATTACAAGGAGGTTCAGATGTAAATTTTCAAGAGTTGTCTCAGCCAACTTATGTATCTTATAATCTTGAGCATAAAGGTCCTGAACCTGGCCTTGCAAATCAGGAGCTTGAACACCTTGGAGATCAAGAACATGTCCAGCATATGCCTGAGATTTCAGATGATAACATAACTGCAGTAAGTGATCCTTTAGCAGAAACAAGCTCAGGTAGTTCTTCTTCTGGTATTGATCCTCTTATGGATTCTAGTCAAGAGGGTCAACTGGTTGTTGTATCAACTGATATCAGAAGGTCCATTAGAACTAAGTAACCTCCTACTTGGATGACAGATTTTGTTAAACAAAAGGCAGTGAAGTATCCTATGGGAAATTATGTGAGCTATAACCATTTCTCATCCTCTTATCAGTGTTATATTGTTGTTTCTTCCTCACTGAAGGAACCTAGTACATATTCTGAAGCTGTGACAGATCAAAGGTGGATAGATGCTATGCAATTGGAAATTCAGGCATTAGAAAGCAACAATACATGGGTGGTTACTGATCTTCCACAAGGCAAGAAACCTATAGCTTGCAGATGGGTATATAAGATTAAGTATAAGGCTACTGGTGAAATAGAGAGATTTAAGGCAAGGTTGGTGGCTAAAGGCTACAGTTAACAAGAAGGAATAGATTACAAAGAGACTTTCTCACCTGTGGTTAAGATGGTGACTGTGAGATCTATAGTCTCTTTTGCAGCATCCAAAAAATGGCATATTCATCAGATAGATGTCTTTAATGCTTTTCTTCATGGTGATTTAGAGGATGAAATTTATATGCAGCTCCCTCAAGGTTTTGTCAGTCAAGGGGAGAAGGTTTGTAGACTGACAAAGTCACTATATGGTCTCAAACAAGCACCAAGACAATATAATCACAATCTGACTGAAGCTCTTATTGCTCTCAAATTCAGACAAAGTCAGTATGACTATTCTTTGTTTATTCAAGATTCAGAAGCTGGTATAGTCATTGTACTTGTGTATATAGATGATATGTTAGTTATTGGAAGCAGTCTTAAATTGATTGAAGAGACAAAACAAGCTTTACAAAAGTGTTTCAAAATGAAGTATCTAGCTGAACTAAAGTATTTTATAGGCATTGAGTTCACTAGGACAAAACAAGGCATACTTATGCATCAAAGAAAGTATATCTTGGAGCTTATAGCTGAAGTAGGAATGTCAGCAGCAAAGCCTGCAGGAACTCCCATTGATGTTAATGTCAAGCTAACATCAAAACAGTATGATGAGCAAATAAGGGACAAGAAGAATTCTGAAGATCAGCCGGTGGATCCAACATCATATCAAAAGCTAATTGGGAAACTGTTGTACCTTAACATGACAAGGCCAAATATATCATTTAGCACTCAAACTCTAAGTCAGTTCCTACAGCAGCCAAATAAGTCACATATGGATGCAACTTTAAGAGTGGTGAGATATCTCAAGAAACATCCTGGACAGGGTCTGCTATTGACTAGTTCTTCAAATGAATTGGTTACTGTATGTTGTGATGCAGACTGGGCCTCTTGTCCACTTACCAGGAGGTCTGTTACAGGCTACATGATTAATATAGGCAACTCTTTAGTGTCATGGAAAGCAAAGAAGCAAACCACAGTCTCCAAAAGTTCAGCTAAAGTTGAGTATAGAAGTCTTGCATCTATTGTGTCAGAGCTAGTACGGTTACTTGGGATGTTAAAGAGAGTAGGAGTTGAAGTGCAGCTGCCAATCCAAGTATACAGTGACAGTAAAGCAACAATACAAATAGCTGCAAATTCAATCTATCATGAGAGGACAAAACATATAGAAATAAATTGTCACTTCATAAAGGAAAGAATACAACAAGGTTCAATCAAAGTGAATTATATATCAACACAAGAACAACCGGCATAAATTTTGACAAAGGGGCTATCCAGAAGTCAACATGAGTATTTGTTATCCAAGCTAGGAGTGCTGAACATTTTTGCCCCTCCTAGCTTGAAGGGGAGTAATGAGACTTCATCAGAGTAGTTGGTTGTTAAGTAGTTAAAAGGTGGTTAGGATGATTAAGGGTAGTATAGTCTTTTCTCTTAAAGTTGTTATAACTAATTCTCCCAATAGTTTGTTAAAGAAACAACTATAAATACATGTTCCCATCATTGTACAAGTTATCCCTTTGAGCTCATAAATGAAATTTTTCTTTCTTCTCTTCTAGTAGCCTCTGTAAATTGTGTCTACGTTTATATATATATATATGAATTTGAATTAATCCACGTGGATGATCCAAATCTAATTTCTTCAATATATTAGCTTGAGATCGTTATCTAAGAACTCATATATAAATCTCAAATGCTACTCTGATCCGCCTCTGATTAGAATTTTATTTACTCAATTCTATTTCTACGAGAGGTAGGTATAAGTACTTCACCTTCTCCAAACTCTAATAACGAGATTACACTAGATATATTATTGTAGACTTGAGTAGCTTGAAGCAATAATCATAAAGGATGAGTAAAGAGAAAAAATCAGCTAAAACAAAAGAGGAGATCAAGGAAAAGAACGAGATGACGTATCTAAAACTTACTCTTTTCAAGAGAATGTGTCCCCTTCTATTTTTTTTGAAAAAGAAGAATGGATACAGTAATAGCTATAGGAAAGCTCGAATAATATCAGAGGACAATAAAGTATAATTTCGAAAGCTTGTAATAAAATAGACATGTGCTTATATCTCACAATAATACAAATACAACAACTAATTAATTATTGAAAACAAATTAAGAAAATAACAAGCATAGCTAGCTGATCCAACTCTTTCTTTGTTCTGGACATATATAATTCTACGTAGAATTGGTGCTAACAATATAGGTAGGTGTCGATAACATATCAAATCCATTAAACTTTGTTCCTGCACATTTTGAGTATGCACCCATGTTATAGAACACTATCAAATCATCCAATTCAAGCTCCGGCAATTTTATGTCCACAGCCACTGCATCAAGGGAGTCACAACTTGGTCCATAAATGGTAGATGATTCGCGTATTTCACAACATTTTCTCACTGAAATTGGCTTAATACCCACAAAGCAATTGTTGTACAATGTTGGCCTAAACGATCCATAAATCCCTTCGTTAATCCAATACTCTATTTTCTCACCTCTAACTCTTTTGCCAATCACATGTGTGACTAAAGTAAAAGCTGTTTCAGGAAAGAATCGCCCAGGCTCCGCGATTATTTTTAAATTAGGGTCGGGGAAAAAATCCGAATTTTTTGCCGAGGGGGCGCAAGGAGCCGCTGTCACTAGGGGCTTTAATTTGGAGCAACAAACAGCATTGTGGGTGCCATTTTTTTATCTTGTCAACTTCGAGCTTAGAATCAAAAGTAGTGAAATTGACCCCGACAGCTGCTGCATGCTTGATGTGGGAAATAGCCTTGCACGGGTTAGCAAATATGATTTGATTGTTGGGTTTAGCAAGGTGTAAATGCGAAATAAGAAGAGAAAATGAAAAAGTGGGGGAACCAATTTTGGAGGGAAATGAAATGTCATGATTGCAAAGTGCAAATGAAAAGTCATTTTTAACATATTGGTAGAAGAAAGGAAATTGTTGTCCTTATATTAGGAAACACTTTCTTTAGTTCTTAAAGGGTTAAGAAGAAGGTGTCCCCTCACGCCATCGTCACTCGGCTTCGGCTTCGCATTTGGATTAGGCAATTGATTGATAATATTTTTAGACAAAATTTATTTAATCAATCTTGATAATTCATTACCTTTCTCTTATAAATTAATTCAGAATGCTAGTTAAATAACATAATTAATTTGGCACAACGTGTAACGGTAAAAGCGTTCTAAAGGGACCTGTTCCTTCCGAAAAGTGGTTACTTTTTTCAAAAGACACAATGTTCTGGAAAAAACGGGTTTGAACAGGTTTGTCTGAACAGACACGGTCCTTACTATAAATGGCTATAAATAAGAGGTCTTTTCCGTTTTTCAAATACTAAAATTTTTTTCCTCTCTACATACATTTTCTTATATAAACAAAATTGTCAATCGACTGAGTCTGTGTGTGCTCCTGTTACTATTTTTACGTTCGCTGAAGTTATTGAAGGTTAAGGTACCGCTACTTCTTTAACAGGTTAATCCATTTTATCTTGGGAGGAATTAATCTGCAACCTCGGGTACAGTGAGAGGATTAAATTTCTTAAAGAAACACAGTGGTTTCTATGGACTCGAATTAAAATTATTCTGTCTATTTCATCTTTTTCTGTTTCTGTATTTTTGACTAACCTGAATATAAGAGATAACAATCTTAATAAATTCAATAGTTTATGTATTTGAGGTTTCTGGAAATTAAAACCTTTATGGTTTTCTACTCTATTTGAATTTTTAAAATTCATTCGATTAACGATTAAAAGAACATAAAAACTTTATCGTTAAATCAAAAATAGTATGTGTAAGGATATATTATTCTTTACTGTTAGTATTTCACATACTAAAGTTGTCTGCCATTTGTGACATAAAAAATGACTATTTCAAGTCAAGTAAATGCTGGAACAGTAAGTGCTGCAACAACATCGGTTGCACACAATTGTTCAACTGCTACCCTAGCACCGGCTAAGAAACCTGCAAAGTTTTCTGGAGTCGACTTCAAGAGATGGCAGCAAAAGAAGTTCTTCTGTCTGACTACGTTGAGTCTGCAAAGGTTCATTAATGAGAACGTTCCTATTATGTCGGATGAAACTTCGTCTGAAGAACGATTCTTGGTAACAGAAGTGTCACGCCCCGAGCTACCCCCGAGACGCGGACACGGGACCTAGGACCACAAGTGATCCCAAGCTAACCCTGCTGGCATGATCATGAGGATACTAAAGATAATAAACTGATGCGGAAGCTAATTCATAAATAAATCTGAAAAGATGGGGAATACCCATATACTATAACTGAATATATGAAATCTGAGAGTTTAATACAAAAGAAATATCAAACTCAAAACACTAAGCTGAATCTAACTATGTCTGAAATAAGCCTCTAAACTGACTAGAAATGTTGGGACAGGCCCCAACTAGATCTAACAAAACTGAAACTAAAGACTAAAAATACTGAAAAGAAACTCATGACTATTGTCCTCGGAGAATGAGGACTCACCACTGATTCTGCTGAACTGGAGATCGGGAACCGATCTAAGCGTGATCTGGATGCTGAGAACCTGAACCTACATCACGAGAAGATGTAGCGCACGTATGCGTCAGTACTTGAAAGGTACTGAGCATGCAGGATGGAGTAAAGCTGAAATAACATATAACTGAACAAAGCATACTGAGCAATGATATAATCTGAACATGATATAGATACTGAAATACTGAATAATGAGCTAACTGAATGCAATGACCAAATTTATAACATGCTGAGACTGAATACTGACTGTACTGAAATATGGTCAGTGCAATAGAGTCTGACTGAACTGTGGGAGCTACTAATAACCGACATAAAACCACATGAGCTAAATGTGGAGTCCGATGTATACGCCCCATCGAGAGGACCCAATATACCCTGCCAGAGGTATAGAGGCATGCTGGCGTGATCACTAAACTGATGTTGCCCACAGAGGGGACTTACACCTACGTGGCTCGTAGTTCTGGGACTATATGGGTACGCTGAAACCCTAGTCCAACTCGGTATTATGCTACTCCCAATGAATTAAGTGGTTAACTAGTTATGACTGAATTTCTGTAAATACTGGATAGCTCGAAACTGAACATGCAAACTGAGAATGCAACAATTAATCTGATAATGATGCATTCATAAACTGAGGCATGTATAACTGAATACTGAAATATCTGACCTAGCATGTGCAATTCAAGAACTAAAGAAATACATAGCTAGGGTTCTGAAATTCATGCAATAAACTGAGCAATGGCATGATAATCTGATTTGGAACATTTAAATAACTAACTCATGATGATCTGTTCAAATTCTAGAAACCCTAGGTCTGTTCATAATCATGGAATCAAGAATCTGACTGAATTCTAGGGACCTAATGGGCGAAAGGAACCCACTAGTGAAATCCCACATACCTGGCGATGAATTCCACGGAGAAATCTTTCGATTTCAGGGCTGGAACTGATGGAACCTTGTTGCGTTCTTGAACTAGGGTTCTTGACCTCTTTTCTCCTTTTAGCGTTCTAATTCTTCTAAGTTTGATTAATGATTTGACTTAGGTAAGTTCTAGTTATGTTTCTAGGCTTAAACTAATTAAAACCTCACGATTTAGGGTCTAAACGACGTACCTTAGGGGTTAAACGAAATAGGAAAAGACCAAAAGACCCCTGAATTAATTGCTGTCGGAGTGACCTACGGATTGGACCTACGGGCCGTAGGTCAATCTACGGTCCGTAGATTGCGTCCGTAAGTCAAGCCTGCTCGACAGGCCTTCACTAAAACGAGCATAACTTTTTACTCAGAGGTCGGAATTTAACAAACTCGGTGGCGTTGGAAAGATAATTCAATTATATATCTAACCATAGGTCATGGGACACATAATTCATTTTGTACTAAAAGTTATGACCATCTGAAGTTGACCCATCAGAATTTTCAGCTAACTGGCTGCTAACCTTCGATCTACGGTCAGACCTACGGACCGTGGATCGAATGACGGTCCGTGCTGGTCAACCGTAGTTCGGGACTGAAGTTGGGCTTTTGGGGCATCGATCCACAGACACGAACTACGGTTCGTGACTTAACTTACGGACCGTAAGTCCGGCCGTGGGTCAACACTTAGCCAAATTTTCTGACTAAGTTCTGGGGAAGTTTTCTGTCACGAACCACGGACCTGCAGGACGGACCGTGAGTCCATCTACGGTCCGTGGATGGTGTCCGTGAGTGCCACCTGTAACACCAGAAATCTGAAATCTCTATTTTCGGATACGGGGTGTTACAAGAAGCATGGACACATTCTGATTTTTTATGTAAAAATTATATTCTGAGTGGCCAGCAGATGATCTGTACAATGTGTACAGTTAAGTCAAAATATCAAAAGAACTCTGGGATGCTTTAGAAAAGAAGTACAAAACAGAGGATGCCGGAATGAAGAAGTTCATTTTGGCAAAGTTTCTGGACTATAAGATGATAGACAGTAAGACCGTCGTCACCCAAGTTCAAGAATTGCAGGTCATAATCCATGGTCTTCTTACTGAAGGTATAAATTTATTTCATACCTATGTTGGAAATATTAAGTTTATTCTTAATTGTCACATAATCTTTAATGTAGGATTGGTTGTGAATGATGCTTTTCAAGTGGCTGCCATTATTGGGAAGTTACCTCCATTGTGGAAGGACTTCAAAAACTACTTGAAACATAAACACAAGAAAATGACTGTTAAAGATCTCATGGTTAGGCTGAGAATCGAAGAGGATAACAAAGCCGCAGAAAAGAGGTCACATGGTAATTCAGCAATATCTGGAGTAAATATTGTTGAAGAAGATCCCACAAAATCAAAGAAAAGAAAGGAAGCAATTGGTCCAAAGAGCAATCCTCCTAAGAAGAAATTCAATGGAAGCTGCTTTAATTGTGGCAAACGTGGTCATCGGGCTACTGAATGTCGAGGTCCCAAGAAAGACAAGAAGAAGGATCAAGCAAATTTGGATGAATCCAAAGGAGAGATGGACGATCTTTGTGCAATGCTTTCACAATGCAACTTGGTTAGAAATCCAAGCGAGCGGTGGATATATTTTGGTGCCTCATGCCATGGTTGTGCCAACAAAGAATTATTTTCATCATATACTCCAGCACCTACAGACGAGAAGTTGTTTATGGCAAACTCCATTGTTACAAAGGTGGAAGGAACTGGCAAAGTCCTCTTAAAGATGACATCGGGCAAGGTGGTGACTTTGAACAGGGTCTCATATGTTCGGGAATTGCGAAAGTTTTTAGTTTATATACCAGTTGTGACTAAGAACGGATTCAGATGTGTATTTGTTTCTGATAAAGTTGTAGTAAGTAAGAATGAAATGTATGTAGGAAAAGGTTACCTTACTGAGGGCCTCTTTAAACCGAATGTAATTGCAGTTGATATGAATAAGGATTCTACTTCTTCTTACTTGCTTGAGTCTAAATGTTTATGGCATGAACGTTTGGGACACGTTAATAACAAAATCTTGCAAAAACTGATTAACTTAAATGTTTTGCCTAAATTTGAGTGCAATAAATCAAAATGTCAAGTTTGCGTTGAATCTAATTAAGTATGCTAAGCATCCTTATAAGTCTGTTGAAAGGAATTCATATCCCTTAGAACTGATTCACACAGACATTTGTGACATGAAGTCAACACCAACACGTGGTGGAAAAAAGTATTTCATAACTTTTATTGACGATTGCACTAGATATTGTTATGTCTATTTGCTAAATGGTAAGGATGAAACAATAGATGCATTTAGGCAATATAAAACTGAAGTTGAAAATCAGTTGGATAAAAAGATCAAAATCATTAGAAGTGATAGAGGTGGAGAATATGAATCTCCATTTGCACAAATATGTTTGGAGAATGGAATCTTCCATCAAACTACTGCACCTTACTCTCCTCAATCTAATGGAATTGCGGAAAGGAAAAATCGAACTTTAAGGGGAAATGATGAATGTCTTACTTATAAGTTCAGGTTTACCACAAAACTTGTGGGGGGAAACTATCCTTACAGCAAATCGAATACTCAATAGAGTGTCTTACACGAAGACACATGTTATTCCATATGAGAAATGGAAAGGTAGAAAACCCAACTTGAAATATTTCAAAGTGTGGGGGTGTCTAGCCAAAGTCCAGGTTCCTATACCTAAAATGGTAAAAATAGGGCCTAAGACTATGGATTGTGTATTAATTGGATATGCCACAACTAGTAAGGCATGTCGATTTTTGGTTCATAAGTCTGAACATCCGAATATTCATGATAATACGGTAATGGAATAAGATAATGTTGAATTTTTTGAACATATCTATCCGTATAAAACTAGACTTGAGTCATCTAGTGGAGGGTCTAAACAACCTCGAGAAGGACCAAAAGAGAATGAAACCAATGAAGAGAGTCAAAGGCGCAATAAACGTCAAAGAATAGCTACTTCATTTGGATATGATTTTGTAACATTCCTTCTTGAAAGTGAGCCTCAAACATTCAATGAAGCGATGTTGTCTAGCGATTCAACCTCTTGGAAAAAGGCTGTCAATATTGAGATTGAATCAATCTTAAGCAATCATACCTGGGAGTTGGTTAATCTTCCTCTAGGGAACAAACCTTTGGGTTCAAAATGGATCTTTAAAAATAAGATGAAAGATGATGGAACTATTGACAAATATAAAGCAAGACTTGTTATCAAATGCTTTAGACAGAAAGAAGGTCTTGATTATTTTGACACATACTCGCCAGTGACTAGGATTACATCAATTCGGGTGTTAATTGCCCTAACTTCAGTATACGGTCTTGAAATCCATCAAATGGATGTGAAAATTGCCTTCTTAAATGGAGGGCTAGAAGAAGAGATTTACATGGAACAACCTGAGGGTTTCGTAGTTCCCGGTAAAGAAAAGAAAAGTATGCAAATTTGTTAAGTCTTTATGGACTAAAACAAGCACCGAAAAAGGGCATGCAAAGTTTTATCAAACCATGTTGTCAAATGGATTTAAGATCAATGAGTGTGATAAATGTGTTTACATTAAAAACACTCTGGATCAGGAAGTCATTGCATGCCTATATGTGGATGACATGCTGATAATGAGCAAGTACATTGCCAATGTAAAAGCTACTAAGCGTATGCTCGCGAGTAAGTTTCATATGAAAAATCTAAGAGTAGCCGATTTGATATTGGGAAAACTCCTAACGGTCTAGCATTGTCTAAATCTCATTATATCCAAAAGGTACTTGAAAAGTTCAAGTACTTGAATTTCAAAAAGGCAAAAACCCCAATTGATGTGAACCTTAATCTTGCTAAGAATTAAGGTGAAAGTCAGTCTCAATTGGATTATGCCAGAGTATTGGGAAGTTTGATATATGTCATGAATTGTACATGACCAGACATAGCCTGCGCTATAAGTAAACTGAGTCGATACACAAGTAATCCCAATCAAAATCATTGGTTGGCAATGAAGAGAAATTTGGGGTACTTAGAAGACACTCAAAACTATGTTTTGCATTACAACAAATATCCAACAGTTCTTGAAGGATATAGTGATGCAAATTGGATTACTGGGTCAACTGAAACGAAATCCACGAGTGGATATGTTTTCACTATTGGTGGAGGAGCAATATCTTGTTTGGACAATGTCTAAATTTCGTATTGGTGGAGCAATATCTTGTATTGGTGGAGCATCAACCAATACAAATTTATAACCCTCAAAAGTTAGGACAATGTCTAAATTTCGTTTCCAATCAACATAGTTTGGACCCTCAAGTTTATTTTGATTCAAGATTGATGACAGGGGATTGAAGTGAGACACAGTTAATCTGAGAGAGATAAAATAGATCATTAAGTATACATGATATATTATTAAAAAAAACACAACAAGACTCACATAATCATGCCTATACACAGTTAGATTCGATTGGGAAACTTAACTATTCAAGCAAATATATGAGCATGTGTAAATATAGTACCAATTAAACAAAACAAGTCCAACTCAGTTAGAGAGTATTCTGTTAAGTAAAATAAGGAATATATAGATATAGATTATGTCTCTTGCTCATTGATTCAACATATAACTTAGTTGGAAAGTTTTAAACAAGTCATCAAAGCAAAAGACGTACCAAAACAGTATCAAAATATATGAGTTTATCCGATGGGGAAGAGGACCTAAGTCAACACATAAACTCATATATTTACTGTAAAATACATTTATAAGTGTTAGGGATGAACCCTTACGCCACTGGATTACTAAAAACAATTTTTAATTTATTTTTTAATGTTTCGTAAACAGAAAAATGGCCAAAAACCCATCAAAACGACTCCGAATGGCCAAAAAAGGCCCTTGATCACGGCAAAGCCGTTTGTATTGCTCACTGGGTCGTTTCCAATCAACCAACCAAATTTGAGGCCAATCGGAGTTCGTCAGAAAAAAAAACTTTTGCCAGGCATGGCATGCTGTCTGTTTTCTTTAAAAATTTCATAGAACTTTAAATATTCAGAATCCAGGCAATATTTAAAAACCTTACTCAACTATTAATTCAATGAACATGAAACATGAATTCGTTTTACAAGATCTGAATAATGAACAATTATCAACAATACATGAAACATTCTGTTTTTAAACTTGAATTATAAACAGTGATTTATTTCAATCTCATCATTGAATAGAACATCAAATCATAAATTCATAAACAGAAAATAACGTATTTATGATACAACGAATTCATATATGAAACAGTAACGCATCATGATATAGACATTCAATCAATCATGAATTATCTTATTACATTATTTAGTATATGTAAGAAGACTCGTGATACCAATTGTTAGAATATGCACAGCGGAAGCTATATTCAGGATCACAAATCTTACATATAGACTAAACAATATAACATAAACGAATTTAGAAGAGCACTAACCTGTTTAAACTTCTACAAAAGTCGTCCAGATGCCAAGGATCCAGAGCTACGATCTTCTCCTATTTCCTGATTGACTGTTACTACCAAGTTACTTGTGTGGGCAAGTATTACTTGTTTTTCAAATATGATTTCTTTCATGCCATATCCAGCCTATTTATCTAGTTTTCCCACTCAAGAATGAATTGGAAAAACGTCCAAATAAATTTCAGGCTTAATGAGCAATTAAGAGGATCATGAGAATAAATTGAGATAAAAACGTTTTCATCCATTAAAGGCCAAACGTTTTTGTAATAAGAACAAAAACGTTTTCATCCATTTAAGGCCAAACGTTTTTGTCACTAACTCAATCTTTAACTCTCAAATAATTCATCCTTTTAAAGAAGATCAACAATAAAATTAATTTGTCCTTCTTTTCAAACTTGGTCAATTAATCAGGCATAGTAGGGACCGTAGATATATTTAATAGAGGCTTCCAACTACGATAATAATTCTCAAATGAACGAATTAACCATATCGCAATAAATTACAAAGTATTCCACTAAAATTCTGTAATTGCACTCCTCGATTTAATTTCGAAATCTACCACTACATCTTATTTAACCCCCCGTGTTAGAATTACCGACACCAATCAATTAAATCAAAATTATCTGAAAATTTAATTCATTGACTAAATTAATCCTTTATTATATTTACTTAACTTATTTCACGTGACGGATCTAAAATCCACCTGCAGGGTTTTCACGTGAAAACTTATAAGTAACCATAAAGGGGTGTCTTCAACTCGGGTCCGAGACACGGTTCTATCAACTAATTATTATTTCACTAATGTAATTTGTCATTATCTAATCTATTAGGAATTTATTGACTCATCAAAAAGTCTCACCTTTTAATAGATTAAAACAATAAAATAAATTACATAGATCATAATAATTATATCAAGATTGAGAGTATAAGTACATGTAGTGGACTAGAGAATTTATTTATAAATATTCAGAACATAAACAAATGTCTCTAATTGGTCCGTTCAATACATACAAAATGTACTAGCACAAGAAGTTGAATTTAACCATTCTCATAATTAAGATCAAATTATATTTAATCTTGTGCTACGATCATCAAGATGTTCGTCCTACTTCATCTTTGATCGTGAACATAAATTTATAACTTATATGCACCAACAATTTTAATCTTCCGTGTATGAGTTAAAATACTCCATACACAAAACTGTCTACTATATAAGCAATGGACACACATATATACATAATGATCTATTTAAACAAAAATTTATTATATTAAATATATAACATAAAAAATCTTTACAAGGGATTAAATAAAAAATACAATAACACAATTACATGGTTAATAGTATATCCCAACAGTACCAAACCTTGCATATCGCTTGTTTGTATTGTTTACTGTTATTTGCACCATTAGTAGATCTATCAAATGCAATACCCACGAGAATAATTATTAGTTATGTGTAGAGCCTTATTTCTTTACAGCAGGCAATCAAACAATGTTAGCTTTTCAGAAAGAGTGACGGAGTTATTAATATTAAAAAAGAAACACTCTATAATATCTTTTTATCTGTACACAAATAATTTTTCAGGTTAGGCAACTCAACTACCGCTTTGTCTTGGATTAAATGAAAAGCAAACCATCACACAAGTTACAAACTATATCTCAATTGAGCAAAATGAGAAGTTAACAGATACAATACCTTCGTATTTGGAGAGATGGTTGTTGAACGACTCCCCCGCATATGTAGATCTCAATGTTGTAGACACATGTCAATAAAAACCGGCTGCAAAAGCTTGTATTTGACACAGGTGGCATATGACAAATACATTACATAAGTAGAAGGATATCTACCTACTATCAATTTTCAGTGGCTTATGAGAGATGTAACAGTGTTTGTTAAACATGATATATTAATGGAATCTTCACATAACGTTGCTAGCCCGTAAAATGCAGAAACACCTGAAATAAATGTCCATAATGAGACCTAGCTCAAGATGCACCATCAGAGCTAGATGAATAAATATGCTAGTCAAATGCAATTGATGCCCTTATTAACTAAAACTTATAACCTCTCTGAGTCACATCTGACTCGAAAATATTCTATCAAGACAACACTCTTTTGTAACTGTATCACACGTATGCATTATAAGCATATGGATTACAGTCCACTTTCATGTGGAAAGTTGTTGGCGTTTTATATTTGACTGACAGTAAATCGGGTGCAAAAGATAATCAACTAAACCTGCTTTACATCTTTCAGGAGCCAAGGAATTGATTTAAGAAAGCTGCCACACATTCCCATAGCTTTTCTAAAGCAGGGAAAATTCAATTACTTACCTCCCTATATGAGTCATTTTATAACTCTATCAGACAACTATATTGTACTCTTTGTTCATTTGTTGCCCTTGAACTCCCAATAGGATGTATCTGCATTTTGGAGATCAATTAACCAACTCCTGACAAACAACCTACCCCTCTTGATCATCCTCCTCTCTAATATAGCCTCAGGCAAAGGACAGTAGGGACTGGACATATGCAACACTGGAGGGTGGTTGAGGACAGCAGGTACTTCATGACATTTTTAAAACTGTGATACATGAAAAGTAGGATGGATCAACACATCAGCTGGGAGCAACAACTTATAAGCAACTTCTCCAATCTTAGCAACAATCATATAGGGACCAAAGTACTTAGCAGCTAGCTTGTTGAAAGGTCTAGTGGCCACAGAGAACTGCCTGTAAGGCGGTAGCTTTAAATAGACCCAATCACCCACACTAAACTGTCTGTCAGACCTGTGTTTATTGGCCAGATCTCTCATTCTTTGTTGGGCCCTGGATAATTGGAACTTCAGCAAGGCAATAATAGCTTCCCTAGCCTCTAGGGATCTATCAACCATCTCATTAGAGGATTCACCAGCCTAATAGGGAAGATGAATATGTGGCTTTTGACCATAAAGAACTTCATAAGAGGAGCATTTGCTAGTTGAATGATAGGTTGTGTTGTACCACCACTCAGCAAGAGGCAAGTGAGCAACCCACTCCAAGGGTTTATCTGAGCAGAAACACGTCAGATAAGTCTCCAAGGTCCTGTTCAAGACCTCAGTCTGACCATCTGTTTGAGGATGGTAGGCTGTAGATTTATGCAATTGAACTCCTTGCAAGGTGAACAATTCTTGCCAAAAGGAACTCAAGAAAACAAGGTCTCTATCACTGACTATAGTAGAGGGCATAACATGCAACCTAAACACATTGTCCAAGAAGCTTTGAGCTACAGTTTGAGCAGTGTAAGGATGCTGCAAGCAAATGAAATGGCCATACTTACTCAACCTATCAACCACCACTAGAATGACATACTTGCCTTTGGATTTAAGCTAACCCTCACTGCATCCCAAATTTCCTTAGCAGTGCTAAAAAAATAACGCTATTGCTGATTTCTAGAAGCATAGAGTTCAATAACCAAGACATCACTATTGCATCATGTTCATCCCATGCATCAAACGTGGGGTCTTCTTTAGATGGTCTTGTACCAAGAAGGTATCGTATTTTCCCTTTACCCTTTAAAAAGGTACGAACCAGTTGAGCCCATTTAAGGTAATTTTTTCTATTCAACCGATAAGAGGCTTGAATGTTTTGCAGATCACCAGATGAAACTGTAGAGTTATGCCGAAACAGTTCCAGAGGCTGGAATAGTTGCAACAATCACATTT